CATGAACATCCAGGCTTTAGCTGAAACTGCTCTCCACCACCAGGTCTCTGCATGTGTTGCTGATCCCCTCAGTGATCTACCTGAAGACCATCTTCCTGCATATATGGACCTTAAATGGAGGTCAAAGGATATCCATGGTTTGGAGACATTTGTAACATCTCTTGGGGCTGAGTATAAAAGTATAAAAGTGAGTGGATTTAATAGTTTTTAAGTTAAATTCAAGCCCCGTTTAAGGCTTTCATATTTAACCGAAGATAAACAGGCTAATATATAAGTTGGTTAATACAACGATTTGAGTCTTATCCTTAGAAATACCTTTGAGACAATGATGGACTTCATGGTTGACCTTCTTGAACTGTAGTTCCGAAACTGACGAAAACTAATCGATGCCAGTAGTTCCATAGCTACTCTGTTTGTTCTTCTTATTATGATTCTTTGTAGTGAAATGTTGTTTTAACATGTCCTGAATGTTGTATACATGGTTTTGTTAGCAGTCTCTCCCTACTTTTTCTAGCCTGGAGAGGGGAAGGAGGGATAAAGGGATAAAAGGAAGAAAGAGGAGAGTGAGAAAAGTGAATATCGGGGGAAAGGAAAGGGAGGAAGAATGGGAAAAAAGGGACGGCGAGATAGAAGAGGGAGAGAAGGGGAGAGATAGTAAATTGAAGAATAAAAAACAAAAAAAGACATACTGTTTGTTGGACAATCATATAGAAAAATGTTCAGTTTTGAATGTCAAAAATAATTGATGAGAGACCTGCAAGAGCTAGGTTCTACACTGAAAAAAATTATGCAACTGCTTTTGGCATTTACTTAATTATATTTAGTTACTTTATTGTTTTATGTCCTACCCTGCCTACATGAAACAATTGTGCTAAAGTGACTAAATAGGATAAAGTAAATGCCAAAAGCGGTTGAATTATTTTTTTCAATGTATATTCTGTGTACATGTAAAACACACTTTTCATGTTATTTCTTGACTGTAAAAAAAAAACCTTCAAAAATAGCTTCAAAAAAACACCAGATTCACTCAGAATGAAACTGTATGTCTCCTTTTCTCTTTTAGAGGTGTGTTTGTAAATATTTTATTCTGATCAAATAAAAAAAATATATGATTTAATAGAGTTATGGATGGATATTATCCTGGTGTGAACTAATATTTGGATTATTTGACATTGATTTATTTTCCTGACTCAAATCAGGTTTTGCAGCTTGGTGAATGAATGTCTTCCCTATTTCTGAAAACTATGAACAAGTTATACTTTGGAGCTTTTGAAGGTAAACCCATTATTATTATAACAATTAAACAGGACAACAACTATCATATTATATGTCATGTATAAAACTACTGTTGTTGTCAGGATCATCTGAACTGAGATCAAACCTTGACTTTTGACTGATGGTTGTTTCTCTTTTTGTTGCTGGTAATCAGAGCCCTCGGGTAGACATTTTGAGAATTGACTCAATGAATATAAACTTAGTAAAAATATGTTTAATGAATCTAATATCTTTTGTCATGTTTGGTTTTAAATATTTTCTCTGCAGTCAGTTCCAATAATTTATAGGTAGGGTAGATGTTAGGTCATGAATAATTGATTATTGTGATTTTTTGTGATCTAAATAAACAATTAAAGATTTCATAGTTAAGTTAAATACTCAAACCAGCATATTTAAAATTCATATCTCATAACTAATCAGAAAAAAGTAAAGAATTAATTACTCATCAAAAAATAAACCAGGCATTTGGTTTACAAGCAGCAAATTTACTTATTTATACAAACATCAATCTTTACCCTTAAACCTGAAGAGTTTAATGAACTGTAATACATCCAAAACTTTCCCAGAGAGTAAATATTTTAGTTAGATTTACAGAAAAAAGTTGACATTATCATTGTCTATATGTTTTTGTTGTCCAAAATATTCATTGTTATATCTGCAGCAGTTCTGATGGCAGTTAATTTGTTCTGGTTTCTTTTAATGCTTGACCTTTCAAAGCCTGATGCAGGATTTTTTTTTTTTTTTTTGTAATAATTTGTTATCTGTTTAAATGAGAATTTTTTTTTAAATGCGTGTTTAAAGGGTTGTTATTTTAATCTCAGATATTGCTCCCTAAAAGTCAGAGCTAAGGTCCATTTGGCTCTGCTTATCCTCGTTAGACCTGAAGCTTATTAATAATAATAGATACCAGCCGAAGTACAGAAAAAGGGTAGAGCGCTCTAATGTTCCTTACATTGTGATTCTATATATATCATGTTTTAGAGAGGAAGTATGAAGAGCAGGAAAACAGCAGATCAAGCTTCTGCTTTGCTTTGCTTTGGGGTTATAAAAGTCATTTCATTTTCTGTCTTTGTTTGAGAAAAAAAACTTACACGTGAATGTGTATCAGTTTCCCCAATCTTACTATTTATATGGCAGCATAAAGAGCAACATGTAGATAAGCAGGTGAAATTAACTTATGGGAAATTAGTTTGTTGTTTTCAGACTGATCTGAAAGCCACTAATATCAAGCATGATACTTGTGGATCTTCAGCACAGACAAATTGGGATGTCATTCAGACTAGAGAAGTGTGGTCGGATGGTATCTTAGAGAGGGAAGGTAGTCCTATAGAGCGGGTCTCACTCCCAGAAGGAACAATAGCAGACATTAAAGACAGTAACAAGTACCTTGGAATCCCACAAGCAAATGGTAACCCTCGAAGAGGTAACAAGGAAAGTAGCTACGGCCAAATACCTCCAACGAGTGAGGCAGGTCCTAAGGAGCCAGCTCAATGGCAAGAATAAGTCTCAAGCAATAAATACCTATGTTCTACCATTAACCAGATATTCTGCAGGAATAATAAGCTGGCCAAAGGAGGAGGTACAGGCCACAGAAGTTAAGACACGAAAGCTCCTAATCATGCACGGAGGGTACCACCCCAAATCCAATGCCCTGAGACTTTACCCCAGCCATAAGGAAGAAGGCTGAGGACTAATGAGTGTAACAGCCACTATCCAGGATGAAACATTCAAGATCCATAAGTACATCAAGGACAAGGCTCCAACAGACAACATCCTCAGTGAATGTCTCAGACAATGGGGAATGGAAGATGAGGTACCAGAGACTCAATCATGGGCAGATAAGCCCCTACATGGGATGTACCACCAGAACATAATCAAAGTGGCAGATATCAGGAAATCCTACCAATGGGTAGACAAAGCCGGACTGAAGGACAACACAGAGGCACTCATCATGGCTGCACAGGAGCAGACCCAAACCACCAGAGCAATAGAGGCCCAGATCTACCACACCAGACAAGACCCCAGGTGCGAACTGTGCAAAGAGGCCCAGAAACAATCCACCATCTCACTGCAGGATGGAAGATACTAGCAGGAAAGAAATCAATGGAACGTCCTAACCAAGTGGCTGGTATAGTAAACAAAAACATTTGCACAGAAAGAACTTCAGACACCTCCCTAGGTGGTGGAGAATAACAGAGCTAAGATCCTGATAGACTTCAGGATACAAACAGACTAAATGGATGTGGCCAACCAAACGGACATTGAGATCATTGATAAACAGCAGAGGACAAGTACAGTGATCGATGTGGCATTCCACTGATGGAAAAAATCGGAGGGAAAAAGGAATCGAGAAACTGGAGAAATACCAAGTCCTCAGGGAAGAACTAGAGAGAGCCTGAAAGGTGAAGGTAACTCTTGAGCCCGTGGTTATTGGCGCACTGGAGGAACACTGGAGTGGCTCTAACATATACCTGGAGACAGGGTCCGACCGGGGGCCCTGGCATTTTTCACTCTGCACCGGCCCACAACCGTGTCTGAGATGGTAGCTGATCTTCTCCAAAGCCAATCTCCAGTAAAATGAGCAGCTAAAGCTCCAGGCGGTTCTGATTGCATCAGTGTCCTTAATCCATTCAGTTCCTTTTTAGTTCCATTCACATGCTGACATCATTGTCGGAGGAGAAAAATAAGAATGATGTCATCAGTGTTACAGACATGTTCACTCTGGTCTAGTGAAGGAGTGGAAGATGCTAACCAGCTTCACCTGTTGCTGCAGGTCAGTCAGGAACCTGTCACCTGACAGGTGGAGGCCAGTCAAGTAAACTGACATCTCTGCATCTTCTGTGTTGAGATGTAGAGATGACATAAGGAAACATGAAGCACATTCAAAATATGATTTCAAATAGGATGTATCATTAGAATAGCCACCAGATAGTGATGAGATATTTGAGAATACTGCTACCACTTTCTTGCCATATAGTCCAAACCCTGCAGGTGACATCAGGAAACATTGTCTCTTAGTGATTTTAATCATTTCGTCTTCATCGGTTGTCATAACTGTCAGGAATGAGCTGTGAAACGACTTCCTGAATTTATCAGCAGGCTCTTCCTGTTGCATGTGGCTTATTCCTGTTATAACTTCTCTAATCCATCACTTGTTCCTCTATTGATCTCTTTCTGTTTGTATAAACTCAGTGACAGTAGTTAAGTTTAGCAGAGTAGCTTTCTTTACTTATATCTACAAATAAAGCAACAAACAAACATATAAATAGAATATGTTTTGTTCTCCAAACTGTGGATATAGAGATTATAAAAGTATCTGTAGTAACTTAAGTATCATCAGTGCTTTTAATGGACATGATTGGAGGATTCTGAGCTCTAACCAATCGTATTACTCGCAGTCAGAGACGGGTGGAGCCTTAGGAAGGAACGAGAAGTAACGCCACCATCTCCTCTGACAGAGAAGCAGAGCATCACTGAGGAGGAGACCGTTTTGGACCTCAGCTGGTAACTATGGCCTGTGTACTCAGAACCTTCTCTGTGTATAATATGTGTATAATGCCAATACTCTGTATATACTGTGTGTATAATGGTAGCAGTCTGAGAGAGAAAGCAGGATGGAAGGAGTGAGTGAAGATGACCTCTGCTGGCTGCAGCTGGATGACTTCAGGATGCTGCTGATAAAAAACATTGACCCGTCCAGAATCACTCCTTATCTCCGCCAGTGTCAGGTACTCCTCCTCCTCCTGATCTCCTCCTCACCTTTACCTACAGTAGCTGCACCCCTTCATGCTCCTCTGTCCTGTCAGGCAATGTTTGGATGTTTTTCTGTTTTCTGACGTTGCTGACAGGTGATCACTGCTGAGGATGAGGAGCAGCTCTTCCATGACCCCACCCTGGTCATCCGGAGGAGAAAAGTTGGTATGTTCTGAGAAAAGATTAAAATAAGATCCTGTTAAACCAGAAGAAGCGTTCAACTTCGGTAAAAAAAAAACTGATTAGAGACAGGTGGATCCAGGTGTGTGGTGATTTTCTGACCTTTTTTGCTGTAATGATCAGGTTTAATTAACCCACCAGTGCTCTGGAGGATATTTACTGATATACACCCAATCTTAGTGACAGCTAATAGATGATCAGAGGTCAATGTTGGTGTCTCATTGAGCAGCAGATGATAAATGTGGAAGTTGTTTGAATATAATTTACCACTCTGATGTAACAGCAGTCATCCTGCGAAGGCAGGTTCCTGGTTTACTTTCACTTCTTCTCCATCTCCTGAACTTTAACCTGGCCTACCAGCAGGTTCTGTGAAGCGTTCACCTGCTTCTAATGTTTCCTTTGCTTTAATATAAAGTAAAAACTGATTATATCAAGAGCTGCATCGGGACCATTTCTTCCTGCAAAGGCATAAAACACTGACCCATAGTTGGACTTACGTAAAGCTCACGAGTCAGACACGCGGTGATTGAGCCACAGAGTCTGATGCAAATGGGACTTTTCTCATTTAGAGGATATTGCAGAAAAAGAACCAGTTTCTAATCCATCTTTATAGTGTTGAAAGCAGTTTCATGCAGAGTAATCGCACTAATGATTATTTTTGACAAGCTTTTATTGATAGGTTACTGTAAAATGTGGCATAAAAGGCAAATATTTTTACAGAAGCTAGAATTTAACTAATTTTAAATAAGAAGCCTCTAAAATGCGTTTTTACATTGATAAGAGATATTGATTTGTAGTAACTTCTTATTTTCTGTATTGTTTGATCTTTTGCCAGCAATTAGCAATATTCACTCATCTGAATGAAAAAAATATCTTGAGATGGAAGCTTCAGGTTTATTTATGTTAAGACAAGGCAAAATTATTTATATAGCAAAATTCAGTACAAAGACAATTTAAAGTGCTTTACATGAATTAAACAACAAAATAGACGTAAAATAAAAGCAAGTAAAGATAAATAAAAAACAAATAAAACAGTTGGACCACTAACTTAAACTAATGATAGCTTAGTTCATAGTTTAACTTCAACACTCAAAGGCAGTTTTAAACAAATGTTTATTTAAATTTGACTTAAAGAACTCTGGTTTCCAGCTGGAAAGAATGAACAGATAATTTTGTCAAAATCAAAGTTAAAAACAAACAACATTCATCAGAACCCATCTTAGAGTCAGTTGACAGGTTATATCTGACTTTGTGAACTTTTAAGTTTGGATTGTTGGGTTATGACAAATTTTTGTGTATCTTAATTTACCAAATCAACTTAGTCTGGACATTACAGTGACAGAAGCAGAAAAACTGGACCAGGGTTCAGGTCCGGTGAAGTGTGGACGCTTCAAACACAGCAGCTCTATAATCCATGTAATCCTTTAAAGCAGGGGTGGGAAACCCCAGTTCCTGCGGGTCAGTATTCTGCAAATTTTAGATCAATCTTTGGTTAAACACACCTGAATAAAATGGCTGAGGTACCTCCTCAGTATGCAATCAGTTCCTCTAGAGTCCTCTCAATCATCTAATTACTTAATTGAGGTGAGTTGAACCAGAGGCAGATCCAAAAGTTACAGGAACTGGAATTGCCCACCCCTGCTTCAGAGGATATCTCTACCAGTTTAGGTTGAGGTAAAGTCCATTTGCTCCTGGTTTAGAAGGCATTAAGATATTAATGTGTTTTCTGATTACAGCTGGCGGCTACTTTTTTAAGAATATATTCCTACTGTAGAGTCTTGAAAGGCTTCAAAATATTCTGATTTATTGTGGGATTAAAACAAACGACCTCATGGTGTTGAGTCAGACCCACGGTCACAGTGAGATCCGTCTTCCTCTTGGTTTTAGTGTTTGAAAATGTCTTGATGGTTTCTGGTGTCGCCTTCGGTTTGTTTTGCAGGAGCTCTTCTGGACATGCTTCAGAGGACGGGTATGAAAGGTTATACCGCCTTCCTGGAGAGCCTGGAGCTGGATTACCCTCAGTTGTACAGCCGGATCACAGGGAAGGAGCCCAACAAGACCTTCAGCATCCTCATCGGTTGGTTTGGATGTTTGGAAATGGTGTTCATGGTGGAATATAGTCTGATCACTAACTGCTCTGTTTGTTTAGACACAGCAGGAGAATCAGGTCTAACCCAGTTCTTGATGTCGGAGCTCAGCCGCCTGCAGAGGGTTCTTCAGGATGAGAGGAGAAGACGGCAGCAGGCATGCTCTGTTGCCAAGGAACAGGTTGGAATCACAGCTGGTTTATTGAGGACCAATCCAATATGGAGGCGAATAAAAAGATTACTTTGCCCCCATCAGGAGGCGTGGTCTCGCCAGCAGAAGCTGAAGGACCGCGAGCTGAAGAAGCTGACTGAGCGCGTGCAGAAGCTGCGGGAGGAGAGGGAGCAGCTAAACGAGGAGTTGAAGCAGCTGCGAGATCACAACTACAATCTGATGGCAGACATCAACACTCTGAACCAGGAGAAGAGCAACGCCCTGCTGGCTAACAGGGACCTGCAGATAGAGGTCAGCTGACCCCTGGCCCCCTAGTCTCAAACCCAGAAGCACATTAACCCTTACCTGACCTCTGACCTCTGCATGCAGGTGGAGCGCCTGAAGCACACACTTCTGCGAGCTGAGAGCGAGACTCGGCTGCTCAAACGCCGGACAATGAGGCCGCTGCAGCAGGTAACCATGAAACTGAAGCACCGAAAGCTTCTTTACCACAGGGCAATATCTCAGAGGGAATATGGAAAGCAAGAAGGGCCAAAATTTCACAGTAATTCAGAGGTCTAACACCAGAACTCATTGATTCCCACACTAAGGCCCCGTCCACACGAAGCCGAGCCCTGGCCTAAACGCACAAATTTTTCACCAAACCAGCCTCTCATCCACACGAAGCCGA